ATTTTCTTGCTGTGCCCTCCACGGTCATCCTGTGGTCTCTGTGTTGTCTGTGTCCCAATATCCTCTTATAAGGACACCAGTGATACTGGATTATGGTCCGCCTGTATGATCTAATTTTACCTTCATCACCTCTTCAAAGTTTTTTTTTTTTTAATTTTATTCATAAGTAATCTCTATACCCAGTGTGGGGCTCGAACTCATAACCCCAAGGTCAAGAATTGCATGCTCCTCCAACAGACTGAGCCAACCAGGTGCCTCTCCTTCATCACCACTTTAAAGTCGCTGTCTCAGGATGCCCGAGTGGCTCAGTAAATTAAGCATCTGCCTTTGGCTTAAGTCATGATCCTGGGGTTCTGGGATCAAGCCCATGTCAGTGGGGAGTCTGCCTCTGCTTCCCCCACCATCACTCCCTCTGTTGCTTGGCCTCACTCTCTCAAATAAAAAAATAAATCCTAGGGCGCCTGGGTGGCTCAGTGGGCTAAAGCCTCTGCCTTCGGCTTGGGTCATGGTCTCAGGGTTCTGGGATCGAGCCCTGCATCAGGCTCTCTGCTTGGCAGGGAGCATGTTTCCTCCTTCTCTCTCGGCCTGCCACTCTGTCTACTTGTGATCTCTGTCTGTCAAATAAATAAGTAAAATCTTTAAAAAAAAAAAATAAAAAAAAATAAACTCTCCTGTCTCAAAAAAAAAAAAAAAAAGATTCTCTGTCTCCCTTTGCTCCTCCCCTCCTCCCCTCACATACATATTTGCTCTCTCTTTCTCTCTAAAAAAGAAATAAAATAATAATAATGACAGTTATCAAAATATCTAAAAAAATAAAGTCTGTCTCCAAATACAGTCACAATCTTAGGTACTGGAGGTTAGGACTTCAACATATGAATTTTGAGGGGAGAAGGGTATATAGTTCAGGTCAGGTCAAAACACTATGTCACAGGGCTATTGTGAAGATCAAATGAAACAATACATGTCACAAAAGATCAGGAGACTTAGAATGTTGTAAGAGCTTATCAAACATTTGACATAATTGAACACTTAATTTGGGCATAAGTGTATCCAGTAAGTTATCTTTTCTCACTAGGATATTGGCTGGAAGTGCCCTGGGGTCTTCTCCTCTTATCCAGGTGCTCAGTCCAGCATCACCCTTATGATCTATAGTCCTCATTTCATTCCCCCAGCTGTTCCATTCTGATCCGGCCCCTCCCCGGGGTCAAAGAGAGTTTCTTTCTGTAGAGCGTTCTCAATCTTTCTTTCTGTAACTGCTCCAAGGTTAGTTTTTAAAACAAGGAGACATTCTGTGCCACCTACTCACAGCTCAGCAAGTGCTTTTCCAATACTGCTGCTATTTCTAATCCTTGGGCAAGCCACTTATTAAAATTTAATGACAATCACTTACATTTATAAAGCCATGTTCAGTTTACAAAGCTCCTTTCCATCCATTACCTCTTTTAATTCTCAATACATCTGTAGGTAGGAAGTATGTTTTTCTCCATTTTACAAAGGAAGAAAATAAGGCTCTGAGGAGTAGCATCATCATCCAGCAGCAGAGATGGGCCTCAAATTCTGGCTTTTTATTCCATTATGTCAGGAGTAGCTCCCCTATTCAGGCATTCTTCTACAATATAAGCAATCCATTAAACCAGCTCTGCTCTCTTTTGGGAGATGTAGTTAAGTTATTTAGGACTATTTTGATTGGAAGGGACAAAACCCCAACTCAAACTGGCTTAAGCAAAACCTGAATGTATTGGCTCACCAGACAGAACAACCTGGAAGGAGGTCTTCAGGCATGGATGGATCCAGGTGTTCAAACTGTGTCATCAGAACTATCTCTCTCCATTTCTTTTTTTTTTTTTTTTTAAAAGATTTTATTTATTTATTTGACAGAGAGAGAGAGAGAGAGAGATCACAAGCAGGCAGACAGGCAGGCAGAGAGAGAGGAGGAAGCAGGCCCCCAGCTGAGCAAAGAGCCTGATGCGGGACTCGATCCCAGGACCCTGAGATCATGACCTGAGCCGAAGGCAGAGGCTTTAACCCACTGAGCCACCCAGGCGCCCCTCTCTCTCCATTTCTTACCTTCCTATTTGTTCACATTATTCTTAGACAAATTCTCTGCTTAGGGTGTCAAAGACAGCCCCCAGTAACTGAAGCTTACCATTCTTTCAGCTCAACAAATTCAACAGAGAGACAACACCTCTTTCTTGCAAATTTAACAAATGACCAGATATCAATCTCAACTATTTGGGTTGGCTTCTGGGCCCACCTCTGAATCAATCATTGTGTTTAGAACAATGGAGTATTCTCATTGTCCAGGCCTGATCATTTGCCCTTCTCTGGGGAAGAGTATAATGGTGGTGGTGGGGTGAATCTTACCAAACATAGGGACTGAATGAGGGGAAAAGGAGTACCAATGTCAGAGGTGGTATGGATGGTGGACAGATCTCTACAGCATGGCTTTGCTTTGCAGAGCTGGAATAGAGCAACCAGCAAGGAACTAAGGGCCCAACTCTGCAAGAATCCCAGTTCTTCCCTTAAGAGAGTGGTAAGTTGGCTTCTGTGTAGTTTTTTTTTTTTTCCCCCCAGACTGCCTGGTTTCACAGAGCAGGATAGGAAAAAAAGGTGATAATTCATGGCAGAGTAAGGAGAAAAGATGGAGATTCTGGCTCCAATAACTTACGCTGAGAATAGTACCCAAACCAGGAGTATCCACAGAAGGAGACTTTGAGGATGACCCCTTCCCTGATCCCTCCTCCTAGCACCTTCTATCTCCCCCAAAAGTTGTGAGCTCCAGGAGGGGAGGGACCACATCTGTTTTACCTACCATCTCATCCCAGGGCTAGCAGTGTTGAGCTGGTACATTACAGGAGACATTTCCTTACTTATTGCATGATGTACAAATGAATTAGGCTGATCAGTCTACTTGGCAGAATCAACACAACTTTGTTCAAGTCAGTCCCCTCTTTGACCTCTGTTCTCCAGCTGCCAAGATGGAATGGAGTGGGGGGAAGGTGTAGAATGAGACTCTTTCCACAGCTCCTTGATTCCAGGAACTTAGGATTCTCAGGAAACAGCCAGGATGCCCTCTGCAAGGAGCCAGTGGAAGGGGAAACCAAATTTATTGAGAACTCTGTGCTCAGATGAGATGACTTCACATGGATCTGAGTTGCCCAAACTGTGGAGCCCATTTCACGAACCTCATAAGTTTGTTTTAAAATTTGAGAAGGAGAGATGGCAGTTTAGTAGGAGGAACCTAGGCTAGCTTATCCTTCAAACAAAACTAAATGACTATCAAATCAGTCTGAGTAGCCAAGAAGTCAACCGCAGGACCGACAGAACAAACCTCCACAACTAGAAGGAGAGAAGAGGCCACATCAAGGAAGGGAATTTATAGGGAAATATTGCTTTATGGAATAAACCCAAACTAAAATACATTTTATTTTAAATAAAAATGGACATTTAATCTCATAGCTAAATTACTGATTATATATTTGCTGAGCTGACTTAAGGGTTCAGAAAATTATATCAAGAGTTTTATTTTTTTACTTCAAAGCCTTTATTTATTTATTTATTTATTTGACAGAAAGAGAGAGAGAGATCACAATTAGGCAGGCAGAGAGAGGAGGGGGGGGGGAAGCAGGCTCCCCGCTGAGCAGAGAGCCCGATGTGGGGCTCGATCCTAGGACCCTGAGATCGTGACCTGAGCCGAAGGTAGAGGCTTAACCCACTGAGCCACCCAAGTGCCCCACTTCAAAGCCTTCTTAATAAAGTCTTTTTACTAAAAAGTAAAATAAAATTTGGGATGGAAATAACTCTGCTTATGTTTTATTGTGCCAAAATGAGGATGTTAAAAAAAACACCCTATCATCAAACTTAACTAAAGAAAAAATGAACTATCATCAACACTTTGTTAAAAAGGAATTTTTACACAGAAAGCAGGAAGTATACAGTCTCAGGGGAAAAAAAGAACAGTGTCTCTTCCCCTGGAAAAGACATTTGGCAACCTTACATAGTTATTTTTTTCAGAAGATACATGTACATTTCATCAGACTGGCCCCTGTGGAAGGTTCAGTATTTGGAACCTACTAACAGATTATTTTTCAACCCCACCCGTTGCACCCACGTGCCTGTGAAATGGGGCTTAATCTGCCCACTTTGCAGATGGGGAAACAAAGGTTCAGAGAGCCCCAGTGCAAGGTTACAGAGGTAGTAAACAGCAGTCAGAGTTTGGACGCTAACCCTCATGGTCTTGGCAGATCCTAAGCCAAAAGTTATTCCCCTTCAGGGAAAGAAATGACCCACACTGGCTCCCTTGGAGTGCCCCCAGGGTGTTCTTGGCCTGACCTTGGGCCTGGACTTGGACGCTTTGTTCTTTAACACATCTTAATCATGTGCTCACTTCATGCCAGGCACTCCGGAAAGTCCAGGGAGGGAAACCAGCATGTTCCCAGCCTCCTTCCCTCTTGTCCCGCATACTCACCCTGGGTCTTGTTCTCCAGGCCCAGCTCCTTCCACTAGTGGCCAACGAATCCCTATCGCGGGCGTGGGATGCTAACAGTTTAGGGGGTTCCCTCTCCCAGGGGTGTTGGCAGTTTCCAAGGAGACTCTGGGAACCTTCAACGCCTCCAAGACCCAAAGGGCTGAAAGCGTAATGGTGTAATCCGAGGCACTGTGTTAGGTTGTAGGAAAGGTAATATGGGAGCAAAGGATCAGTTCAAACCCTATCAAATAATACTCGGTTTGGTCCCTCCCCCATTCTCATGGGCTCTGCGGGGGCCCACAAGCCCCGCAGCTCAGGCTGGAAGAAGGGGGTCCCCCAAGCCAAAGGGCCTACTGTGTAAGGTGCTTATTGCTCCGTCTGGGGGATCCCTGTGACCGTGCCCACCCCTTCCCCTGACTGCCAGAACCTGGAGCGCCCCTCCCCCGTTTCGCCCCGCCCCGCACGCCCGAGGCGGGAGCGCGCCTCCGACGAGCCGCGCCGGTGCACGAGAGCGCGCGCCTCGGCGCGGGAGCGCGCCCCGGGGAGAACCCGAGCAAGATGGAGGCCGCGCCGAGGCCGCCTCCTGGGCCGAGGCAGCAGCTGCTGGGAGCGCCGAGCCCGGGCGCCTAGGCCGTGCCAGTCCCGGACCCACTGCTCCGGACCGGGCCCAGGTTGGTCTCCCCGCACCCCGTCCCCGCGGCCGCAAGCTGCGCGCGCGTCCGGCCTGGGCGCGGGGCAGCCGCCCCCCACCCCCACCCTCGGCCCTACCCCTGCCGGGCCGCTCCCCAGCACTCGCGGGATAACCTCTGCCCACAGTCCTCCCCTCGAGGCCCGGGCTGCCTGCCGGCCCCAGTCCCTCGTACCCTTGGCCTGGAAAACCTCTCTCCTCAGCCCTGGCCCGCCAATCCTAGGCTTCCCCTAGCTTACATCCAGTCCTGTCTTCTGTGGGACCCCTCCAGACCCCCGCCCTGTGTTCGGACCCTGCAGTCCCGGCCCTCGGCTCCCCACTAGCCTCATCCTGATTCCTCCACTTCGCCCTCCCTGTCCCAGCCCCCCTATCACCCCCCCCCCCCCCCCGAGTCCCCCCCCCTCATCCCCCCCCCCTCCCCCCGCATAGACGCCCCCCCCCCCCCCCAGCGCCTTTCTAGACGCCCAATACCAAATCTTCTTTTACCCCTAATACCAGTCCCCAATTTCCTTTCCAAGCTTCATTTATACAGCCCCTCTGCTCATCCCCCAGTACCGGTCCTCAGCCTCCATTCCATCTACCCATGGTTCCTTACTACTTGCCCAGTTCTGGCTCCCAAACCCCCCCCCCAACACCCCCCTGACCCCTTCCCAGCGGGCCCCCACTTCCAGCTCCCATATCCACATCCCATCCCCCTCATCCCAGCCCCCCAACTTTCACATGTCCCTTACCTAGGCCCCCAGTTGGAGATCTTTACTCCCCTCAGACACCGCCCCAACACTCAGGACCCCCTCCTGGCCCCTCCATACTACCCCCGAGATACTCCCAGCTCCGCCCCAGGCCCCTCCTTCGAGAGTTCCTTGGCTCAGGGCCGCTTCTCGCGTGCGTCCCCAGCTCCCGCCCGTCAGCCCGGCAGCCCGGCGGTCGGTCCCGGGCCGGCGGCCCCCGCCAGCCGCCGTCGCCGCCGCCGGCCCCGCCCCCGGGCACCATGCTGCCCTCGCAGGAGGCCTCCAAGCTCTACCACGAGCACTACATGCGGAACTCGCGGGCCATCGGCGTGCTATGGGCCATCTTCACCATCTGCTTCGCCATCATCAACGTGGTGGTCTTCATCCAGCCCTACTGGGTGGGCGACAGCGTGAGCACCCCCAAGCCTGGCTACTTCGGCCTCTTCCACTACTGTGTGGGCAGCGGGCTGGCCGGCCGCGAGCTCACCTGCCGAGGCTCCTTCACCGACTTCAGCACCATCCCGTCCGGCGCCTTCAAGGCAGCCGCCTTCTTCGTGCTGCTCTCCATGGTGCTGATCCTCGGCTGTATCACCTGCTTTGCGCTTTTCTTCTTCTGCAACACGGCCACGGTCTACAAGATCTGCGCCTGGATGCAGCTCTTGGCAGGTAGGGTAGGGGTGGGGGTGGAACCCCTAGAACAGGCGCCCAAGACCGGGCTTCTTTCTTCCAGGACCCCTTCTTGGAGGGGTCAGAGAGATTCTGCTCCTCTGTCTAAAGACACACCTCCTTGGCTGTCCCTCAGCAGCCACTGGGGAGGGGATTTATGAGAGAAACACCTTGGGGCAGGAGGCAGAGCCTTAGAGCTAGGTCTTTGAGTTTGTGTGCTTGGATATGGGCAGACCGTAGTTACTGATGGGTTAGTGTTATGTTAGAGTGTCTGTGGGCCTCTGAGAGTCTCTTTTGGCTGTCTTAGGGGAAATAATTATCTGAATGAGGAGTTACTTTAGGAATGAGCAATTTCTATTGTTTCAAAAAGAGCATGAGTAGGGGGAATTAGGAGATCTGACTTTGACCTTTATCTTGCTGACATTATCAACTTGGGTGTTTCACTTTACTTCTCTGAGGCTAGGCTTCCACATCTGTAAAACAATGGAGAAGATTCCAAGAACAAATGAAAGAGTATCTTGTAAACTTTGAAGTTCTGTATTAAGATAAAGGAGCTTAGGAAGATATGCATGTCTATAGTGTCTATCCAGTGTTGAAATGTGGGTGGTGGACGGCATGGGGGTCTTGGGAGGGCAAGTCTCCACCTGCTACCCCCCACCCAATGCAGGAAGGGTTCTGGTGCTATGCCCAATGGGAATAAATCCCTGGGACCCTTTGAAATGTTTAGCTAGGACAGACATCTTGCTCTAAGAACCGGAGAAGGGACCTTTGGGTAAGAGAACTGCTGAGACTGTATTCCAGGTTCCGTTAAAGTCCCCACCCCCACCTACCTTTCGATCGAAGGTAGATTTTGAAGATTCAGCAACTTGGGCATTTGCCTAATTGCAGGCAGGAAAGAGTTGGGCTGGGGAGAGTGAGGTCAGGATATAGCAGGAACGGGGGAGGAGGACTGGTGAGGTTAGGAAAAGTTTGGAGCCCTCCGGGAATGAGAAAGAGTAGGGGAAATGTGATGATCATATAGTATAGATGGTTTTTTAAAATAAGCACCTCAGGGCATTCAACAAGTGTGGGCCTCTTCAAAGAGACTCCCTGCAGGAGGTGTTATATCACTTGCTGATGACTCCACTGCTCAAAACATTGTAGGAAATTGTCCTTGGAGTGTGGGGTGTGTTTTCTTGAACATCATCATTGAGGGAAACCTCCATCTTTTGAAGGAAGAATATGATTTTTCAGAAATGGCTGGAAGTCGCTTAGGGCCAAGTGTAGAAAATACAATAGTGATCAAATTGAGAATTGTCACTTGGGATGAAAGCCAAGGTATGAGAGCAAAACCATGAGGCTGGTTTGCTTCCCCAAGAGGACCTTTACAAATACAGGGAGGAATTACTGTCCCACTGGAAGAATTTCTCAAAGTCTCAGAAGGACTACTTTGAAGAAAGTGTTAATTCAGATGAGGACATTGTAATGAGCTTGTTTCAAATCTGTCTCACTCCATCTACTTAGATGTGAGTCTTCCAGGATCTTTGAAGGTGAGAAAGGAGAATTGTAGAGTGTAGGGGGTATGTCTCCATATTTCTCTGTGGCACATAGAAGGTAATTTTATGTATTTCCATTCTATTCTTCCTCCAAAGACAAGCTGGAAAGAATATATACCTACCTGGAATCCTCAATCCCTCACCCTTAATTTGGAATCTGCAGAAGAGATGCTAACCTCTTGGCCTTCCAATTCTCTGTAATTTATGTGGGTTTAATCTTAGGGATTTGATGAAGTGTCCAATAACCCCATGTAATTACAGAATTTCAGGGATCATAGAGATCAGCTCCTTCAAATCCCACCTTCCCCTCCCCCCATTTTAGAGAGAGGAGACTGAGACTAGAGAAAAGGTCTTACCCAAAGTCTCATTGCCAGGAGGGGAGTAAACTAGGTCTTGACTCCTGGCCTGGTGCTCTTTCCCTTGTGTTGTTGTCCTGAGGGCTGAGGAGTCCAGTTAGCAGAGTTGAGCAGTTTGTTTCATTTTGGTTAGAGATTTCTGAGTTCTCTGGGTAAGTGACCAGTTCACTTTGTTTAATGAAGTGACGTCAGGACTGGAGCTAGAGCATTGGACTACGAGTCATGGGATGGGGTCTTGCTTGGCTGATTCTGCCTGAGTGATTCACCCTGCAGTAGTAAGCAATTGTTTTTAGCTTAAATCTCAGTTTTGTCATTCTTACAGTGGGAGACTAATCAGTTACATTATTGGATTCAACATATCTCTTTCAGCCTTGTGTGTCTCCTAAAACAGCTCGTTTGCCAAGATCGTTCTATTCGGAAAGTAAGAAATCAGTCATTCTCAGAGGAACTGCAGAGTGGCAAAGGACCTTGTTTATATCAGGAAAGAATTAGAATTCTTGTTCAAGTAAACTTTTATTCAACTATTTTAGATTCTTCTAAGTGTAGAGCCCTGGACTATTGGGAAAATTCAGAGATACTTATTCCTCTATTTATTCTTTATCTGCTCTGTGATCATCCCTGTGCTAGGGGAACAATACTGAGATGATCCTGATCCCCAAGGATTTAGGTCTATATGATGAGATCTCCACTCTCAGGAAGCTTACCATCTAGTTGGATCACTATAGTGTTCAGCATTTTTTCAGTGACAAGTGACAGAAATCCAACTCAAAATGGCTTAAATAAATAAAAATCAAATCAAATAGGGATGGTAGGGTTTTTGGCTCACATAAAGTATCTTTCTTTATGAGTATCTTGCTTCAGGGGTTCCTGGCTGACTCAGTCAGTGGAGTATGGGACTCTTGATCTCATGGTTAAGTTTGAGCCCCACGTTGGATGTAGAGATTACTTAAAAATAAAATCTAAAAAAAAAAAAAAAAAAAAGGTAACTTGCTTTAGGCATGGATGGATCCAGATACTCAAATAATGCTATTAAGAAAATGTCTATTGCCATTTCTTGGTTCCTCTGTGTCAGCTCATTTTTAAAGTCCACTTCTCTCCTAAAGGTGATAAATAAGGCTACTCACAGCTTGGAATTTACATTGCTTTAGCTTAGCAGTGCCTGTGCGAAAAGAACATCTGTTAGTCAGTGGTTCCAGCAAAAGTTCCAGGGCTGATTCTCATTGGCCCAGGCTTTGGCCAAGGATTCACCTCTTAGTTAATCAATATGACTTTGTCTAAGGCTTCAGCCATATTCCCATCCCTGGAACACATGGACCAATAGTGGAGACAGGTCAGTTCCTGAAAAGAGAAATCAAGTGTAACCGCTGGTAGGACAGGCGCAGACAGAAAAGCCTCACTCTGGAGAGTCTAAGCACTAATATGTCCTGGCTGTAAGTGCTGGGGAAACCCGGGAGGTGGCCCCTTCACTGGGAGGTGAGGCTTGAGTGGGAGGTGCGGATGTGTACAGGTGCGAGGTGGGGGAGAGCATTCTGAATGGAGAGGAAGATCACGGGCAGAGACACGGAGGTGAGAAAACCACATGTGGCTTGGGGGTGACCTCCAGCTAGGGGAGGAGTGGGAGGAGAGGGGAGGAAGGAATGGCGGAGGCTACAGTGTACAAGTCTCTGAATAGTGGGTCAGGCATTCAGACTTTCATCAGCAGGCAGCTTCAAGCTACTACAACTCTTGTTATTATTCAGGAAAAACAGTTAATATTTTCTTAGCCTTTGCTGTATGCTAGACCATGTGCTAGACATGGACATGAATACTATTATTTAATCCTCACAGTGATATGGAGTAGGTACCATTATTACTCTTTTGTAGAAGAGAACACTAAGCCTCAGAGATGAGTCATTTGTCCAAGGTCATACAGAATGTAAGTGGGAGAACTAGGATTGTAGCTTGGGCTGTCTGATTCGAAAGGCCAAGGATTTATGAAGGCATTATAGAGGGGCATTAGTGATGGGGGCAGTGGCAGGAGGTTTTAGGCATAACACTCAAATGTTAAGCAGAGAGGCTGAAAACCCAGGTGGCTCTTTGTGGAGTCAGGGGCCAGCTTCTCCGGGTACCTCTGCTACTCTGGACCTGGTCTTTCCCACTTAGTGAGAATACACAAGGTACCAGCTTTGACGCTAGACATTTCCATATTTGTTAGACAGTGCATGTTCATTTGTTAAAGTGACTTGCCCAAAGGTCACACATCTAGTGAAAGGTGAAGCTGAAACTTAAAACAAGTCTGAATGGATCTAGTTCTTGCTCTTACAACCAAACGAACCTGGGAGAGGATACACAAGTCACAAGACAGAGCTGTCAGCTATCCGTGCTCAGTGTTCACCCGTGGGCTGGGTGGGGTTAGCCAAGGGGAGGTTGCTGGCTGAAGTACAGGTTCAAGCTGGAAGCCTGGTTGAGAGTCCAGGGGCATAATGTGGGGTAGGGGTTTAAGAGCAGAGGACTTAGAATTCTCTCTCTGCTCCTTCCCAGCTGTGTGGCCTTGGATAAGCGGGTTTTCCTCTCTAGGTCTCAGTTGCCTTGTTGTAAAAGGGAGATTATTGCTTTTATTTTTAAGTAGTCCTACACCCAACGAGGGGCTCGAACTCACAACCCTGAGTTCAAGAGTCCCGTGTTCTACTGATTGAGCCAGCCAGGGGCCCAGGGGAAATTACTATTGTATTTACTTCAGGTGGCAGAAAGAAACAAAACGATGGCTGTAAAAGCACCGAATGTGTTCATAGTGGACAGTGGGCATTCAGTAAACGGTCACATCATCTCCGTAACACAGCCTAAGTGAAGAGCAGCTTGTGAGGAGCTCTTGCTGCTCAGGTGGGAGAGTTTGAACTTGCTGGGATGATCAAAGGCCTTGAGAAGTCATAAACTGCCAGCTGAAAAGGGTCTTGCCAATTAGCTGCCCAGCCGCCTCATTTTATGGAAGAAAAAAAATCTAGTCCTGGAGAGAAGAAACAAGTTCATGTCACAAAGTGAGGCTCTGCTTCCCACAGAAGGGAGATGATTCTGACCATAATTCATTCAGTACTGAGCACCTGCAGTATGTCCAGCCCCGCTCGGCGGCTGG